AAAAAAACACCCCAAGAAAATATCAGCAAAACTCATTATGGAAATTTAAAGTGTTAAATAACTTACAAACATCTTTAACCCAACGGAAGCTATCTTAAGCTGCTGCCCGGCTAGAAAGTTCAACTGGAGAACTTGTTTGACAGAGCTCGACACATAGTAAACTCTCTTGACGTGATTCGTATCGTTATTTCTTGTAACAAGATGACCTTTGAAAGGAAAAGATTCCTTGATTCCATAAAACTCCATTATCCTATCCACAACACTATCATCCTTGTAAAAGATAACAGGGTCCACTCCTTTCCATTTCCCTTGGATTTGTAGCTTTCTCTTTCCCGTAACCGTTTTAGCATCAGTTTGGGGCTCTTCAGTTTTCTCTTTAGAATTATCTTGGTCAATCTTATCATGATCAGTATCCAAAGGAGCAATATTAGAATTATCTTGGTCAATCTTATCCTGAATATCTGTTGTGCCAGTCTCTGGATCTTCTCTAGCCACATCCATTTCTTTCTGAGGCTGAGCACTATTAGAATCCGTTTCATCAGAAAGGCCCGTACGTTTATTCTCATTGGCTGCAAGGGCTGAGACACAAGAATTTTTTTTTTCAAGGGAACTCACTTTACACAATCGATTAAAATATATATAAAAGTAACTCGAAAATGGGAATGGGGCTAAAAAATAAAAGAGTGGGTTCATTACATACACAACTGTCAACAGTGGTCTAACACACTCTGGAAAAAGAAGAAAAAGAAATATATAAAGAAGAGAAAAGAAAAATTTTCAACTGCTTAAGTCTTAATCCAACAGAATTATATCCAAAATACGATATCCACGTCGCATCTGTTCATATTTTACTAATAGTACCAATAGAAAATAGTATTAGTTTAAAAAAAAAAAAAAGGCCGAGAACTGATACTTTACAGCAACTTACCAGGCAAGGAGGAAACCTTGTGAAAAATGGCAATAAAGAAAGCCCCAGAATTTTGATCGTGAGGCACTATCCTCATACAACGTTCCAAGGGAAGATCCGAGACTTCAGTATCCGAACTGTTTGATGAGGCCACAGAGGCATCAGTTCCCTGGGGCTCATTTTCAGAACTGCCATCTCCATTCTCACATAATTGTCCAGTTTCTGTTTCATCACTGTCCACGTAAGAATTCCCAGAAGGAAACATACTGGGAAGTACTACAGATCTACGGTAGTTAGGAACAGCTTTGTAAGAAGCCAACCACTGCCCTTTATCCCGAACCTGGACAAGCAAATCATAATACAGATAAAATGCTGGTATATGAGAGGATGCATAACTTTTAACGGTATGTATTTTGATAGTTATGTCTTGTGAAAAATAAAATTAGATTGATAGTTATTTTCCGTGGAGAAAATTAGAAAGAGTACTCTTGAGATTCGATCTAACTAAACCCAGTGTACTACAGAAAACTCTGAGGTTTGATTCAGTTATACAATTAAGAAGTGCAATGTCCATTTTTGTATGTGCAGGGGTTTAGTAAGTGGATTTTACTTATGGAAAGGGTAAAATGTAAGACAAAATAAACTCTAAGGGGACGATAGGAGTAAGCATCAAGAGAATGAAATATGGAGTTTTATTTAGTAAAATAGTAACCAGAAGCTTGAAACATTCCAGCAGATCGATTCTGCCCAGCAAGAACTAAACTACCATGCACAATAGCCAAATCTATTACAATCTGATTATTATTGGCTCCATGCCTTTTCTAGACATCCTATATGTGTATTACACTGATAAATTATAATAAGGTAGCAATAAAAGAAGAAGACAACAAATATCTTCATAATGCAATCAATCTAGATCCTCAAATCTCCCTGATTCTGTACGTTTATTCTTTGTTATGCAGTTTGATTGATTAATGGTATATATCACTTGATCTCTCAGAAAATTAATTGTGTTTTTATTTATTTATTTATTTATTTTTTGGTAGTTTGATCGAACCTCAAGTGTACTTTTCATAATGAACCATTTCCTATTGATGCTAACCAACTGAAAAATTGTTGTGAAAATACTAACTTTCCATTTCTTGAGACCCGGCCTGCGAACAAGCTGGGGAAGCTCAGGCGAGACATCCACAAGCTCAATGGAACCTGCACATCTTCGCAAAACCTGAGGGCAAATGAGATTTTTAGGACTCACTAGAACATAAAAGCACATGTGACACAGTACATAAAAAACTTTTGGAGTGTTTTTTAATTAGTATATGTCATCCATACATAGACACACTTCTCTAAATACTAAAACAGTAGAAGATAAAGTGGGAGGAGGAGGAGCCAACATGGAACCACTTGAAAATGATTAATTATACAATGCTCCATAATAATAATCAAAAGTGCTCAAATCAGCACTAGTCCCCATCTGAAATCATAAAAGTTATTCATGGCATTCTTCATAAAAGTACCTCAGCAACAACAGCCTCATTCTCCACTGGATTCATTGAGCAAGTTGAATACACCATCCGCCCGCCAACTTTGAGCAAAGCTACACCTGAAATGACCATGTGTTGAAAATCTAGAATCTTCATGTGCCAATTTATTTTGAAAAAAATAAAAAATAAAAAAATGATATAATCTAAAGTAGGGATCACAAATGGAAGATTTTCGCCACATGTGAGTGTGATATATGTGCTTGTCTGTATTGAAACAACAGCTATTTTTTTCATTTAGTTTTAATTGTAATGTTCATAATGCATTAAGACAAGCAACTAAAGGTAGTCAAATATGGTGGATTAAAGAAATGTTAATTAAAAATCCAAATTAGCACTTGTGTGTTGATAATTGCATTACAGGTAATTACAAATAACCCTAGATATCTAGAGTAATTACAAGAGGAAAACAACCATCTTCCAGATTTACAATCAACCCTTCATGCGTACCTATTTTACAAATTGCTGAAGATGACTTGTAAAACGGATATGTGATATTTAAATTCATTAGAGCCTAACTTTAATTATAAGAGACTGACGTAAACCTCAAGTGTAGTTTTCACAACAATCTCTTTTAAGATTATTGGAGGCATAATGTTCAGATTTACAAAAACAGTTGTCCTACCAAATTCACACACGCAGAGTTTTCTAGGACTAAATTACTGAGGTTGAATGCTTCATGTCCTCTAAAATGAAATAAAGGTCCCACACCAGAGCCTAGGAATAGGCAAGGATATATAATATAAATAATGAAAGATAGTAACTAATGGGTAGTCTGCCATGCATTATGTAAGATTACTGACTGACCCAGCTACAACCACGTGTTATGCCAAAACCATAAAACTAAGTGATAAAAAGTGAAACTCAGAGAAGGATACCTCGCATTGCTATCTGAACTTGTAGCGCATGAAGTCCATTACCCATTCCTATATTCCTGAAAAGGAAAAGCGATGGGCAGATAATGTAATGCCACAAATAGAATAAACAGACTTGAAAAAAAAAGTTGAAAAGATACAATTAGATAGTAATTACCACTTCCTCCAGATATCAGGAGCTTTACGTAAAGTTCCATCGCCACTACAAGGAACATCACATAAAACACGATCAAACTGAAGCTGGTGAATGCTGAGTGCTTTAATTTTCTCGTTCTGAGAATCAGCAAAGTGCTTCCTGTGTAAATGGCAGCTTGGGAAGTGTTGGGCTTCATGGTTTGTGACTATCAAGTTGGCAGTGCACATCCTTTTCGTTTGGTGAATAAGAAGATTACATCGTTGGACATCCAGGTCATTTGCTATCACCTGCATCGGGGACATATGGTAGTTTGCCAACAGGAAAGAAGTATTACAAAGTGACAAGGAAATATTATATATATTATATATACACACACACACACACACACATACAAAGAGTGCCCTTGAATTTTGATATCACTGCAAAAAAAAAGGAGCTAAAATGTTTTTGATAGAGAAAACCATGATTTTATTTCCACTTGTATTTAATCCCAACCACCCCACCCTGGAACACACACACACAGACAGAATACCTCCATAACGCCTTGCCCTTTAATTTAACATGACACAAACTTCACGGTTAATGTGTAATACAAAAAAATAGCTAATTTTTCCGTAAGTAGGTAGGTCAAACCCTAGATGTATCTCTGGTGATAGATCCCAAAAGTATCCATCTCTGCATACCATCTATGGGAGCAGAAGCTGATGATTAAAAGAGAGAAAGGAAAGGAGTATACCATTCCACTTGGCAGAGTTCCTGGTTCAGCTAACTTGTAAATCATTTCCAGCAATTGAAATGTTTTTGAACCCGGAGCCGCACACACTTCACAAAGGTTTGGACATCAGAGATTACAAAGGATGTTCACATAAAAAATTTAGGTGAGCAACCCACCAAAGTAAATAAAGATATAAATAAATTGAATATGCAAAAACGGTGTCAAAGGTGAGTAGGTGTAGCTTACTGTCAAGAACAAAATGATCTGGATGTACATCAAGGAATAATGGAGGAACCTAAAATTACGTAACATTGTAGAGAAACAAGATAGAGTTATCTGCCCAAATATATATCGAATATTTATCTCACAAAGCAACTATAAAGGAAGATCAATATAAAATGGTATTTTGGCTCACCATGCTAACAGCTTCCTGTCTTGTAATGTTCCCAATCTCATTTTCTAGCTTGAGGAATTCATGAAACCTGGATCAAAATAATCACAAGTCATGCACAAAAGAGCTTTCCACCATGTGATTTCCAAAGGATAATATGTGATTGCTAGGCTTGAGATGTTTGACGTAAAAATGATGATTTCCACAAACAAATATAGAAGAAATAAACAGGATCTCAAATTTTAATGAAAAGCTGAAATTACAAATGGATTTGAAATAAAAACAAGGCCGCCAATTCCTTATAACCTCAATATATAAGCAAATAAGATACCAAATACATAAACAATATGCATCTTCTTTTTCAAAATTTTCTCACCATGACCCCTAATTTCCCTAGATTGTCTGTTTTCACCAACATCTATTTCATGTCTTTTGTCAAATGATTTACTATGGACACCAAATAGGATACTTTTTCCCCATTGTGCATTTTAAATAGCAATTGAGAAGGGTCTTGACAACAATATCTTAACAATTCGGAGCATATAGTCTAAAGAAAAATTTTAACCTTCATCACAGAAAGTAACTTGATACTAACACTCCAGAAATACAATACATTGTTTGGTGAATGACTCACCTCTCAAGGGTCTGATTCTTCCGTAATTGATTTCGAGAAAAATTTGACTGCCAAGCAAGATTATCTGGGTACCATGGCAAAGGTTTAATTGCCTCCACTTCATTTCCCTCAGTGTCCTGAATAAATTGTGAGACAAAAGAAATACCAATTTGTATCTTTCCACAAACTTGGTGCAGTTCGTGATAGAAAAACTATGAGCAAGTCAAACTAATCTACCTCTGCCTGAAGAGAAGTTACAAAGTCATTCTCCAACTGCGACCGTATATCCTCATAAAACTGACTACTGCAAAATGGAATAACAGAAAGCATGTGACCTCAAAATGTTGTATTTTACTAGAAAATGATACAGATAAAAGGACAGATATTTCCGATTGTTTTCTCTCCACTTTGGAGACAAAAAAGAGAGGGAGGACCCACGATAATATGTAAAGTTAAAGCTACAGAAGTAAGAGACCCGAGAGAAGGGGGTAGATATGACGCAGGTGAAGTTCAAGCAGATACATGACAGTTACTTGATGTACAATGGTCCTAGAAACTAGAAAGGAATGTAAATGATCAGCAAGGACTATCGCATGACCACAAGCAACACATGGGGATTTTTCAGTATTACACAATATCTAAAACATAGAAAAGCAAAATAAATAGGGCTTAATTAAGTGGACAAGAAAAAAGCTCTTTGCTGGTGTACTTATTTCTCAAAGACCCTTAAATACATTGTTTGTTAATAAAGATATCAATTTTAAATATTTTTGTTTACTTTATTATCATATTATGCATCACTTAAAATTTCGTTAAAACAACAGCAGTTGAACACGTTATGGAGAAGATATAAATTAAGGCACAAGAACCATTCAATATATCTTCTCGTGCAGAAACGCTAAATTGTTTAAGTCACAGTTACTTAATATATTAGCATAGGTACAAAAGAGAATACACAGGAGCTAATTGATGCATAAATGTGCCATTGTTAACAATCAGCTAAAACGAGCTTACAAAAACAACTATAAATTGTTCTTTTGTATTGTTTTTCAGCAACAAGTAAATCAACTACATATATTTATATTTCAATTTCAAATTTAATAGGAAGGCCATTTAAGTAAATACTCCTGGACAAATTTGAAAGTTACAATGAGGAACAATAACGTAATTCCTGCAGTCTGTGTACAATTCTTCATCTCCTAAACAGCAGTGCTCAGCAATAAATACACAATCTTAAGAAAAAAAGTCTACAGACAACCTTTAGCTATATAGCATAACACCATGAAACTCTACACCTCTTTACAAAATCTTCAGAATCATAATTCACTGCTCTTAACTGTACCTCAAACTACTTCATGAACCTAAACAGATACCCATGACAAGCTCCAAATCTAGCTAAAGTCAAAATCCAAACAATTAAATCGTGCCGAAAATGCATTTCAGCCGGCCAAAACTACTGACAACTGCAGACCCAATTCAGCAAATGAAACACAGAGAGTAAAAGGGCAAGCGTAAACCTTGAATTGATTCTAAAGGCAGCAGGCAGCGGCTTCCTCAGATACCCCATAAAAGTATCCCACTCGTCAGCTGACACAATTTCTTGCTCCTACACACATCAAACCGGAAAAAAAAAAAAAAAAAAAAAAA